TTTCTCTAAATCAGTTTGGATTAATGTTGGCCAAGTACCATGAAATTTATATATTTATTGAGAGGTTTAAAGAAGAAGTACAGTGAGAGCAAGGAGGATTTACATATAATTTTTGTTGATTTAAAAAAACTTATGATAAGGCTCCAAGGGTAATTTAGGGAGTTTTAAGAAAAGTATTGATATTGCTTATATTCAAGCCATTAACGATATATAGTAGAGTTGTTGTGTTCAAACATAAGGAGGATTAATTACTTATTTTCCTATTTTAGCTAGATTACATTAGGAATAGGCTTTAAGCCCATATTTTTTTCTTTAGTGATGGATATTCTTACTGGACATTACCGGAGGATGTATCTTGATATACGCTTTTCACTAATGAAATCTTTTATATGGATAAGACTAGAGATGGTTCAAGAAAAACTTGAATTATAGAGGTCAACTTTAGAGTCTAAAGGTTTTCATTTGAGTAGATCTACAATGGAATGTAATTTTAGTAGTAGTAGATCTAGTAGCGGGGTTATAATAATAAGTGATCAAGTTATTAAAAGGAGGGAACGTTCTAGATATCTATGGCCAATTGTTCAAAGTGATGGTGATATAGATGTAGATGTTAATAGTAGAATTCAAGTTGGATGGTTAAAGGTAAAGAATGTATATGGCCGATTGTGTGATAGAAAAGTACCGCTTAAATTTAAAGGAAAATTTTAAAGAATGATAGTGAGACCTACAATGTTTTATGGCACACAATGTTGGCCTGTAAAAGGGAAGCATAAAATTAACTTATGCTGAGATGAGAAAGCTAATGTGGATGAGTGGCTTTATAATTAGAAACAAAATACAAAATGAGCATATCGGTAAAGGGGGAGTAGCTCCAGCAGCCGGCAAGGTTACAAAGAGTCGCCTTAGATGGTTTAGTCACGTTAAACGTTGACCATTTGATGACACAATTAGGAGAGTAACTGATCTAAAAACTTGCCTTATGTTAAGAAAGTTAGATGCGGACATAAAAAGACTTGGGCGCGTTGTATAAAACATGATCTTAATTTAGTAGAATTAAACGAAAATATGACATTTAATAAGATACAATGAAGAAAAAAGATTCACGTAGCAAAACCCACTTAGTGGGATAAAGGCATTTATGTGGTCATCTTTCAGTAAAATGAACTACAAATGAAGTCATAGAAATTTGTTTATTTTAATAAGCATATAGTTTATTTTTCAAACTCCTTTATGTTATTGGAATTTAGAGGTTAGTTAAATCCACTAAGTTATAGATAACCCATAATTATTATGTAAATTAATATTTCAGGATAAAATATCATAAAAGAAAATAATATAAGAAAAAAATCTATATACCACAAACGCAACCAAATAAGAGAACGGTACTTATATTAGAATTACTTTACTTTTAATTTACTTGAATTTAGTGGCTCTTTTGATAAGTTGGAAGTTGTTAATATAGGAAGAACATATGAATAAATATCTTTATGAAATTTTTGTCCAACCGTACATTCCCATATGGGTAATCAAGCTTCCAAGCTAGGTTGGTACACTAGACACATAGAATGGTTGCATATCTCTAATAGCTTGAACTGAGAATTAGGTGCAATAAAGGTATAACCGATAAAATGAATAGAACACTTTCAATCACCACTTACGCTTTCATGTTTTGGTATTAATGTGCAGGTTGAACCAACTGTGCACAAATACATAAGGAACAGCATTAGAACGATCCCTTTCCTCAACAGGACCTTGAAAGTCTTGGGAAACATGTCCCCTTCAGAGTGCAAATGGAGAGAATGCCTATGTACAAAAGTTGATACAAGTAATTGAGAATGACGGATGATGGAAGCATGTTTATCAAATGCAGTCAAAGACTTTGGAGTGAACAAGCTGTTGTTCAACTTATGATGCTACATTTACTGGCTAAATATGCAATAAGACCTGAGAAAATTCATGAAAGAGTGCATACTTTGAACACCTCCAAATCTGTAAAATGGAAGCTTGGGCTATGCACACAACTAATTATGCCAAGCCGCCCATGGACTTCATTAGACACTACCTCTTTGTGATCGTGGATCACTGATCCAAGATATCAATCTTCATTCCTGCAAGAATGTCACCATAAATAAATTATTGACGACACTTTGGATTTCCCAATTTCATTATGTCAAACAAAGCTAGACAGCTCTTTATCCATTCCTAAGAGGCATTGCTGGTCATGATGGATACAAAACTAAAGAGGAGCACACGCCATCTTTCATCTACAAACAAATGATCAACCAGAGGCGCTAGGCTAGATGATGGTGCATCTCATACAAGGCTCCAACATCAAGCATCTCAAGAGTAAGGATGCTAGCCTACCTTGAATACAACTCGTTTTCAACTAAGATACACAGTTTCAATGATAAGCTCCCTTTTAGTTATGTTTGGTTTATCCGTTTCAAATCTCATTCAATCTCTACTTCTCCATCACTCCTACAACTAATGATGGGATTGAAGTTGATCAAGGAAAAGCGTAAAAGTTCATTGAAAACATTTACAAAATTCACATGCCATGGAAGAAATATCTGCAAAGAAATTAAAAAAAAAAAAGGTCAAGGAAAAGCATGATTGACATGATACGAAAGTGAACTTCTAAGTGGGTGATCTTTTCTAGCCGCGTTTTGGACAAAGATAGACTCATGGGAGACGAAGTAAAATTGAAGCCACTCTAGCATGGACCACTATATATTGTAAAAAAGATAGGATACAATGCCTGTCAATCGAAATTACAGCCATACATGGAACTATACTACAGGTGAACTTGACAACACTCGAGCTTTCTATACTGGATGACGAACCTGGATAAGTCTTTTGTGCAATAAATAATCTACTAATAGAGCATGAAATACTACTGCTCAAAGGGAGCCTTGTCACATCATCAAAAAAATCCAATTGCATGGTGCATCAAAACAATATGGCAAGAAGGTTAGACAAGTAGCCCTCCATTAGATGAAACTATAATTTCAAGGCAACAAAATCCTACTAAAATGAGGAACCATAATCTGGGGACCATATCAAATAAATGATCAATCGAATTGTCCATAATCAATACATGGGCATCAGATTATAAGGAGATCAAAGGAATATTAATATTTGAAATTTAAATGTCAATCCTTTGATAAAGAGAACTACTGGTGTTGATTCTCAAACCACATTATTGAGACTGACGATCAAGTAAACATGAGTTTATAGGTAAAATTGGGTAATAAAAAATATTGTAATCAAGACCAAGAGCAAGGAAGATTGGACTATTTGATAGAGATATAAAAGAAACCAGGATATGATGACCAGTTAGTCCAGGAATCCTTATTGGCCAGCAAGCCTTATATTAAGATAAGTTATGAATTTGAGACATGTTTTCAATGAATTTCTATTTTTATGCTCAAAATAGGATTTCACTTGATTGTAGAGTTAATTTAGGATATAATTAGAACCATTTTGAATAAATTTGTGTTGTATTTTGCTTATGAATAAAACTACCCCAATTTGGGCTGTCAAAACAACATATTTTTCGCGAACAATTTGTGTTCAGCTCATTTTGGCTCGAAAAAATTAAATCACACACACACACACACACATTTTATAATAATTTAATTGACTACAAGGCTACAAAGATTTATAATCAATTAAAATTATTAATTAAAAAATAGAATAAAAATATATTAAATTATATTTAAATAATGTTTTAATATAAATAATATTATTTAAATATTGCCCCTACCCTTAACATTCTATGGCTGCATAATTAGGGTTGTCAAATGGCTCATTATTCGCGAACAACTCGTTAAGTAAACAAGTTGAACACGAACAATGATATTTTTTAACAAGTTGAACACGAGTAGAGCCCGAACCAGAGCCCGAACTCGCTCGTGTTTAGCCCGAACTCGCTCGTGTTTGGCTTATTTACACCCTAGAGCCCGAACTCGCTCGTGTTTGGCTTATTTACACCCCTACTCCCAATTCCTTCTTTTGTCTTCTTCTATATCTCTCCTATTGAGACAAATGAACAACCAGATTTCCTCCCCCTGCAATGCAAAACAACTGCTAATAGCCATGGAAACCTACAAATAAAGTTGCCAAAAATCATCTCAAAAGCTGCTTGTCAACCACTAGATATTGTGGATCCCTGCATAAATAGAAAACAAAAGATTTTCTTTGTTTACAAGAATTCAGAGTATAAAGTGGCCTGTAGCATTATTGTACAAATAGATAGACAGATAGATAGATATATAGATAGATATCCCGAAAAAATTGTCTTCTTGTTCAACAGAGAGCTTAATTAAAAGAAACCTTCTGTCCACAAAAAAATGAGCCAAATTTGAGATAAAGGACAACTACAAAAAGAAACCAGATCCAAATTAACTTTATTTGGATTCATAGAACATTAGAATTACTCTAAAGATAATTTCTATAACAAGGTCCTATCTATGCTAGCCTCTTATTGCAGACTCGCATCATGTCATTAAGATTAGCTTCAAATCAATACATCAATTCCTCCTCCAAATCAACATTAATGGGAGCTTCGTTTACTAGGCACGCCATTTTTATAGGGTAAATGGCTGTAGACCTTTTGACCTTCAGTTTAATTTAATTTGTTCTATACTTTCAAAATCTTGAACTACATTGTTGCCTTCAAAGATGGATTACAAACGGTAAAAAGCATGTCATGAAAGAATCTAATTAATTAATGCATTGCAATTTCTACATTTTACATGCTGATTAGACTTGAGTTAATAATTACATCACAAAATAGTACTCTCTTAACATCAAATATCCACAACATGGCAACAAGTACTATGCACAAACTAGTCTGCCCTAAGAAATGGGGGGCTTGAAAATTTGTTCTAATGATAACTAATGATCATTTATCTTCGCTATCCTCTGAAACACATGAAGGAAACATTCCAATTACATAATTTATCATTCAAAAAACCGCATTTTTCATGTCAGCATACCCGCAAAGAATCTGTCAGCTGACGGCCTTGAAGACCATCCTTGTTAATTGTCCACTTATTCTCAAAATTCTTTTTCTTTGAAAACGGCGGCAGACCTGTACAAAATCTACCTATAAAGTAGGCCTTATCTGTACTAGTACTCGCGCGGACATTGTACTCCTGCAAAAGCATTAGAAGCGCCAATATTAATTAACATAAATATCAAATAGAGATTAAAACAAAGACCATAGTTATCACAGTTAAGAAAATCTAAAATGCCACACGAGGTTGTGATTTCAAACAAAACTAGTAGGTATCGGAATGAGAATGGCAGATAAAAAACAAATGTAGAGAATCGAGCAACCAAGGAGAAGAAAAAGCGTTTACCCGGATGAGCCTGGTGATTGGGACGCCGCAGATGTTGCAGCGGGTGCGGTTCTCGGCCATGGTTTTACCACAGGAAGGACATAGAGTTTTGTGACGGCAGTTGCTCCCATAGAGATCCGTCGGCGACCCGCACCCTTCGCACGCCTGCTTAAGCACCAGATCGAATGACATCTGAGACGATGTTAGCGCTCTTGGAAACCCTGCCGAACGTCAACCAGGCTCCGAACAGAGGAATTTTGGAAGAGTGTATATTATATATTTATTTATTTATTTATTTATTTATTTAATATTAAGTTTGTTTCTATCAGATTTAGACACTGTTTGGAGTACCTCCACCTTATTAATAAGCTGTTGATAATTAGTTGGTCCAGATAAGCTGCTGATCACCAACTCATTCAGATAAACTTGTTTGTTGTTTGGTATGTGTTGTTTTAAAACAGTTTTTTTTCAGTTATTTCTAAATAAATGACAATTTCGTCTCTATGCAGTAATGTTGTTTGCAACATACTGTCATAATAATATATTTGATACTTAAGAAGCAAAAAAATGACTTCAGAACAGTACAAAAAATAAGATGCATACCTCACATAACAATGAATATCAAAATTAATAAAAAAATTAAAATTATAATTAAAAAAATAATAATATTAGTTTTAAAATCCAGACGGTAATTCAAAAGACAATCCATTAGTTATAATAGAAGTTGAAATTGCAAAAAAAATAATTAATTACACTTTTTTGCAGGTATTAGGTCTTAGAGAACAAAGCATATAAACTAACGAGTTTGTTATTAAAAGAAGACATCAAACCTTGTAAAAAAAAAGGTTTGTGGTTTCCTTTAGCTCACTTAATACAAAGCTTGTATGTGTCACATATGCATATCACCAAAAAAAAGAGCAAAAGAAGAGAGGAACTTGGTTGCCTTTATCAAGATTTCACATGTGACACCAACCAACAAAGACTAACAGAACATCCAGAAGAACCCACAATGTTGAACGTTCATCATGGATCTCACAAACTCACAAAAAAAAGCAATCAAAAAAGGAGAAAAAACAATTTTAAATAGCATTAAATTTACAATATTTAAAAAATCAATAATCAATGAAAGATAAATTAAAAGAGGACTTCATAAATTAATAAAAGCAATAATCAATTACAATTTTGTGCGGGTATGAGGTCTCAGAAAACTAAGTACACCAACACCACAAACCTAACATAATAAGAAGAGAGCAGATCTTATAAAATAGTAGTTCTTGATTGCCTTTAGCTCACTTACTACCAAGCTCGTGTGTATCACATATACATATTTCCAAAAAAGGTCATCCAGAAGTACCTCAAAACCCCATAATCGAAAGAAGAGAGGAACTTGGTTGCCTTTATCAGGATTTCACATGTGACACCAACCAACAGGGACTAAACAGATCATCCAGAAGTACCTCAAAAACCTCAGTATCAAAGATAAAATAGGGACTTGGTTTCCTTTATCAGGATTTCACATGTGACACCAACTAAGATGGACTATTAGGCCATCCAGAAGAGCTCACAAGGTCGAACGTCTCATGGACCTCACAACCCCACAAAAAAAAATGAAGAATTGAAAAAGGAGAAAAATAATTACAAACAACATGGAACTTACAATATCTAAAATATCAATAATACAAGTGACATAAAATAAACATAAACTTTATAAAATAAACAAAAGTCGTCCAATCAATATCCAATGATGGTGTTTATAATGTGTTCTGTCAAATCAGTCATTTTCATGACACCTTCGCCTTCCTGGGTGTAACCTTCCTATGATTCCACTTCTGGTTGTGGTACAGTTTGTCCTGCGTGATAATCAAAAGTTTTCGGGGGGAACTGTAAGTGGTCTTCGTCAGTCATGATGAAGTTTACATCAGCTCAAGAATGATGTCATCGAACATAGTTGTGGAGCATAATCGTGACCACTACAATCTTCACTTGCTTTGGAAATGGATACGTCGGCATATCACATAATATGACACATTTCTTTTTCTACACGCCAAATGCTCTTTCAATTATGCAATGTAAAGAGGAGTTCATTTTTTTAAACATTTCCTTCTTGTCATGAGCAACACCGCTGGATCTTTTGAAATCAGGAATGTGATATTAAAAAATGGTTTCATATACCCCCTCTATAATGAATGTCGACCATCAACCAAGTAATATTTAATTTTCCTAAATACCATAGTTAGTAATAAACTAAAGTAAACTAAATGTGGATGATATCTTTACAAACCTAGAGGTGGGTGCGGGAAACCGTCTTCGATTTCTTACCGCAAAAGCAAAAATACAATTATTATGTGGACTGCCTTCCCAACCAGCCATCACAAAAAGTAAAACACATGTTGAAGTCACGTATGACCATCAAATTTTGGGTGGGTGATCCACACCGTCCAATGTATGCGACCTTCTCAGTATTGGATACTCGTACATCCCTGGGGTTCCATCAATCGCTCTAATATAGCTCTGTTAGATAAATAAAGTTGTGATAGTCACACAAGACATTTTAACGTCTGAATAAAATATGTTAAAAAAAATTACCTTAAAAAATGACATATACGGCGAGTCATTTGCAATCTTCATTGGAGTGGTCTCGAATGTTGCATCCTCTGGCTTAATAATCTTTACCGACAAACTAGCAAGAGTTTTCAGACCTACTATGAAATATATGTTAATTGTCTCCGATAAATGTTGGGATCACTCTATTACTCCTCACATTGATTCATTTTGTGATAAAATTTAAAGAGTTATTGCTAACATTTCTCTTGATGTCATTCTTGTGGAGCATTGGAGTTCATGATGTCTATGTAGTTCATCGAGTAGATCCATAAATATAAGTTTTATCATACGGAATATGTTACAAAATCTTCTGGGGTGTCATTTTAGTAGCTCTCCAACCCATTTATCACCAATATAAGTCCTTGTCTTGCAGGGAGTTCGATCGACGTATGAGTTGTAGTATTTGAACAACAAAACTACTGTCATTGCAAACTTTCTTCCCAGACTCTCTCACTGTGAATCCATGTTAAAGAAGTGCACTGTTCAGGTAATAAGTATGCGTCAAACAATGTTAAATAAATATTTCAAATATGAAGATGAGTATAATTAGCAGAAAGGAAATAAACACATAATAACATATAGATTGTTCGTGCTAGAAAGGATAGTATCCAAATCAAATAACCAAAGAAACAAACGAAAAGAAAAAACCAAAGCCACTAAATAATAACTCAACAAAATCAATTGTCCATAAAAATGTAAATAATCAATGAAACGACCCGCAATTACACAGTTATTTAGACTCTATTTGGCGCAGCTGCAACTTCTCAGCTTTTCAGTTGCAGCTGCGCAGTTCCAGGAAGCTGCTGCGGGGAAGTTGTCGCGGGGAAGCTGGTTGTCTGTTTGTTATAGCTGTGTGAGAACAACTGTGGGGTAGTTGTTTCTGGAAAAATGTCTATTCTGCCCTTGTTTGGTGAAGCTGTTTAAAGCAGAACTATGACAACGATATATTTGATAATTCAGAAGTAAAAATTCATTTAAAAACATAACAAAAGTATGAGTACACCATTCACTTAGCAGTGAGTATCAAAAGTGCTAACAAAAAAGAAAAAAAAAACTAATAAAATTACAAACATTTTTATTTACAAAACTAACACCCAGTTGATTTTTTTTAAATGCTAAAGGAGAAAAAAATGCGTTCATCAAAGCTAACAGACTAAGATAATGCACACGGAATATTTGCAAAAACAAATATTTATTATGCTAATCCTTAACAGTTGGACAAAGGCAAACGGTGCTGATGGGAAAATGATGGTATAATGCCACCAGATTTATTTGATTTGGATTGCATTAGTACTTGAATTAAATTGCAGAAGTAGCTTAACATCCCCCATAGAGTTACTTAAGGTAAAATTCCGAGGAAAAGAACAACAAACAAAGTGAGGGGAAAAACTTGCAAATTTCAAATTACAGATAATTAAAAACTCAATATTAATATATCTTCAAGATCTGAAAAATGGAAAGTCAAAAGGGCTTAACAATCAAAGAAATTGAAAGCATTAAAGCTGTTATCGACTGATTTAACAGAAAATGTGCAGTAGCTTGAATCGAAAAGCGAACAAGGAAGAAGAAGAAGGCGTGGAGCCTGGGCGAGGAAGAAGAAGAAGGCGCGGAGCTCGTTCCTAGTCGAGGAAGAAGAAGGCGCGAAGTTTGTTCCTGGTCGAGGAAGAAGAAGACACGAGATCGAGGGAGAGATGACAAGATGGCGCATAGGCGGAACACTAGGCTGCTCTGCTTCTTTGCGTGGAGAGGAGGGGCAAACTGGAATATTGGCGGGGCGAAAGCTGGGGCAGGGGGGTCGATCCTACGGCCGGCTTTCTGCCCATTTTAGCGTCTTGCGGCAGCGAAGCTGCGAATCAAACTGGAACATATTGTGGTTTGGAGCCACGACGCGCCAAAAAAGCGGCCCCAAACAAAGCCTTAGTCTCCTGGCAAAAAACTTGACCCATTTCTTTAGGTAACTAGTGTGCAAAATGAATATGATATAGAATTTAGAATTGATTTATATTTCACACACTAGTGGTTCTATGTAAGTATACTTATCGTTTCACGTAATATATGACTTTCTTTAAAACTCCAATATGTCGGCACTATTTTTGGTGTGGGGTTTGCCCGTAAGAAGCTGTCGGTCATCGGAATTGAAAATCTGTTGCCCGCTTCGGAAGGACGTTTTTTTTTA